TGACTATCTCATCTTGTAGGATTCAACTTGATCATGTTGCATGCATGCTTTTAGACTTTTGGAAAGATGGTCTCATTTAGCATGCATCATAATGGCTACCCATTCACTTCCCAGTCAGAAACACTCTTTCGTCTGTTACAAAGTACCTTCAGGGAATGCCTGGAATTAGATATATCTATTTATGGGAACACAGTTTAAATTTTTGGATCAAAAAGTACATATTGACAGGCTTTGATGACCATTAAATATGTCTCAGGATGCTACAACAGAATCAATCTTGTAGGAAAAAATTACATTTAAACCCAATGTTTGTACAAAACAGTGAGTTGAATGGCTTGTTTTGTACTGTTTTTATGTTATTAACAATGTTTGTCATTATTCTTTGAGTAATTACTAAAGAGGTACAGTGGTCCCTTATGTGTTGCTTTTAAATGTAAACAAAGCTTTAAAAGCCATTATTTTAATTTTATTTTGACTTACCTTTAGTTTAATTTCATATCTGTATTATAAAATCATTTGGAATTACCCCAAGTAGGTGATTACCTTTTAGTCATCAGAACACAGATGGTGCTTCAATGAATCTAACGGACTTTTGAATTTTAATTTCTAAGCTTTTAATAAAATAGCAATAAGGACAATCAAGGTGAAAAAAAAAGGCCTAATTCTCCCTTTCATCTCATGTTTTTCTTGAGCCTTTGCTGTATGTTATGCAAGAAATGAGGCACTCTGACATATGGGGTAGCCAAGCTATGAAAACAAGTTATAACCCTGAACCTGATTTTTTACTCATCTACAGAGTAGGCTGTGGAATACCTTCTGAAAATATAAATCCATATAAAGTCTATTTACTCCCTCAGAAACTATTCTTCTTTAGTTGTCATGGTTGTGATCAACATAAGACATGACATATAGCATTGATTTCTGAAACATCTTTGGCCTTTACTTCATTAGCTGCCTCCATTCAATTTTTGGAATTAAAGAGCAGCATGCTTAATAGCTTTATTATCTCTAGGAACCTGAGACTCCTTAAGTAAGGGCTAAAGGCTCAATAAATTTTAAAAAGTGCTATTATATTGGAAATCACAGTGTTGGAAAAAGATTCAGTTATAGACTTGCAGTATTGGAGTCTTTAAACCCACCAGCCACTCGGAGAGTGATAAAATTACTAATAGTGACTTCTATTAATGACCTACCCTGTTCCCAAGTTCTCATAAAGGATCCCTAGGATAATGTCCTCTTTTAATCTTGGAGCATCACCCTGCCAATTCCAATATAAACCTGTAATGATATTTTTGTTCCTTAGCTCATAACGTGGTCCCGTAAAATAGTCTGTGGACCTTATACATCAAGCAGACAAGTCAATTTGATTGTAATAAAGCACATTGAGTTTATTTTCTAAAAGCCCAGACAACCCAATCATGTGTGAGTAACCAATCTCCTGAATGCCTGGTCTCTCTTGAAAAATTGAGATCACACCCAGGGGGACCTGCCAGGAAAGCTTGATGAACATCTCTCCAGAATGTGCCAAGACAATAGATATTAATGGTATGGTGCCTTTAATGCTTCTGTGATCTGATAAGAGAAGTGCTAATTCTCTGCTCCAAGTTAAAAGGCTCAGCTTCCTGGGAAACCTGCCAGGATTACTCCACTTCCTATTTCTCACAGTCAGCCTTCACTAAAGTCTTTCTTAAATGCTAAGAAACTATAAATCTTTACTCCTCTCGTCAGATAAGGCTTCCCTTTTGAAAGGGTTCCTCTTCACTGGAATTCAGGACACTGTGGTAGGATGGGAAGGAAGTCAGCATTAAAACATACTTGGGTTTTACCCACACTACATGAGTGTGAGTGGTTGTGTAAAGTCCCACACACTCAGAGGAAAATTAATCAGTTTCTAATTCTACCACTATCCAGAAAGATTTTAGTTAGATACATATACCGCTACTTGGCCAAAATTTTTAATGGAACAGGCAGAAGCCCGAACATCTTCCAATCAGTACATTATTATATACTTTAAAGATATGAATATTCTTTGAATGAATCTGAATTCTGAGGCATTAGATAAGTATATTTAAAAAAGACATAAGTCATAATTTAATATGTTGTATTTTTAGAGGTTGAACAATGGGTCATTGAAGACTTTCTGATGGAACTTAGCAGTCTCAAAGATGATTTCAATAAATTTTAAAGTTAGAGCACAGATTAAATACAAATCAATTTAAATAAGCACATTTTTAAAAATAATTGAAGGTTATCTATAAGACCCCATTGAATGCATGTGGCATTATTCTTAGTTTTATACATGCTGTTTTAATTAAATAAGTCATGGGAGAAAATAATTAGTGATTAATTATAATTATATATAAATTGGTACCACTGGAAATATTAAAATTACACATTCTAATGGTTTGTGTGTGGTACGTGTGAGTGCAGGTATGTACATATGTGTGATTTCTGCTTTGTTTATTTTACTATCTAAATGTTTATTCTTTCCTATTGCGTCCTCTGAGAATCTTACCTCACTTCAACATACCTAATCACTCAGAAATTTTCTAGTTTTCAAATATTTCCAATGCCTTTTATTTTGGTAAGGGTTTTGACAAAAATAAAACTAAAGTACACTAAAACAAAACTGTACTCTCTCCCAGTACGGCTCAACTGACCACAACTTTTATGTTTCAAATAACAGAGCTAAGGAATTGGCTTGCCAGGAATCACCTACCACATTTCTGTGATGGGCCAGGGCTTCCAGGTGCTTCTTCATTTACTGCACACTGACTACAAAATTTAATTGTCTGTTCACTTTCTTGTTTTAGCTGGCAAAGATTCCATATAAAAATAAAGATTCCAATAAAAATTCCAAATGTATTAACATCTAAATTGAAAATATTTATTACCTATGAACCACTTTAAATATTTTTAGTTCTATTTGGCTACCCAACATTTCAATGTTTCTCATTAATATTTGCCTGCCTTGCTTTCTTCACTAACACTTTATCATTTAAAAATTAGTTACACATTTTGTAGTCTCCCTGGCTTGTTTATTTGAGGTCATTTCTGTATATGTAGCTCACTACTGCCTATGTTTATTAGACTAACAACCATGGAACACAATGGGAGTTTACTTTCTAAAATACTTTACTCTCTTACTGCCTTAAAATATGAGTTTAAATTTAAAATTATTTTGGAAACTTAACATTCAGTAAATACTATGAAGAAAAATTAATTCTTAAAAAGACCTTATTCTACACACCACTTAAATGAGAAAATTTTCTGAAATTGAAACCTAGCAAGCTCCATTTGCTCAGTGATAAGGTACTTGCACAAGGTTCCCCATGGCCTTTTTGGTGTACAAATGTATAATAATGAAGACTACTTCGAAGGAAATAATTTGACATGAATTTTTTTCTCATTACTGCATTTAAAAAGTCATTCAAGTTGTAAACACTCAAGAATAAGCCAGTTTTAGGATCACATTATTGTATCACAGTAACAATAATGTGAATCACATTTTTTATTTTTATTTATTTATTTTTCTTTTTCATGTAATGAGAGCTTTTTTAATTTTTTTAAATTTTATTTTAATTTATTTTTTTCAAATACATTTTTTAAAAAAAATTCACAGATTCAGGTTCTGCTGGATTCTCATTATTGAGCTACTAAACTCTTGATATAAGTTGTTAGGAAAACCCAAATCATCATTCCAGGCACTAAGATGCAAAGAAAATAATGTGCTATCATGAAATCACAAATAGACAGCTGCTTTTGCATTTTGGTTAACCAGGTAGTTTGAAAATTATGATCCCACTAGCATTATCTTCAGATTTTAGAAGCAGACTAGAGGAATTATACTGAGGTATACTTTGTGGTAGTTCTGTTGTTTCTTTATTACCCCAGAAAACTAACCATGCTTTGAGGATGGGTATGTAGAAATTATGCTTTTAACCAGGTTAGCATTTACCACAGGTGACCAAAAGCCACTTATGTATGGCATCTGTAACATATAGGGATGATAAACTAGCATGATTTTCAGTACTCTAAATTTGTGGATTTAGGTATTTGATCAAAGTTGTATTTTTTTCTTTTTTTTCATTTTTTACCTATAACATTAAATTCCCACATGTGGACTTATTACTATTAGATTAATTTCCAATTTTACAGAAATAGAGATATAAAAAAATTTAGCACCTCAAGTTTTTTGTTACATTTTTAATAACTGAAGGGAAATTTTTTATAGTTTAATCTCGGATTGGGAAATTATTTAATGTCTGATGGTCACACCATTGGCTAGATGAGAATTTTGAGAAATTGACCAATGTGTTATTAGGGGTAGACTTTGATGCTTGCATTAAACTATTAAAACAATGACAGCAACAACAAACTAATTCTAAAGTACATGTGTATAGTTGTTTAGTCCTGTATTCAGGCTTGCAAGTGTATGATTTGGTGGATTTCACAAGCTATTGCACATCTTTGGGAGTTCTGAAGGAAATAAAGCATCTGAGGTTTTCTTTCTTCTTATAGGGATGAAACCAGTTTAACATACTTAACATGAAAAGAACCCAGCTGGCCTCTAACTGTGGGATTAACTGCCACGGATCAATGAGAAAATGGGTGGCTTTCCCCCCTTTATCATTGTACTTTTCTCCAAGCATGCAGGCCTTAGTCTGGTATATAGCATAGTTCTTATTATTTCCATTTCATAATCTAACCTTTAGTTCTTTATATGACTTTGAAAATTCCTATATGGTTCGTTGTTACATTTGTTTTTTCTAAAAAAACCTCATTCAGGGGCAATTCTTTTGAAAGCTGCTTGAAATCTAACTCATTACAGGTTTTTAAAAATTATTTATTTTTTCAAATACATTTGTCTCCGCCTTCCCCCCACCACTTTCCCCTGCGCCCTCTCCCCTCCCTCCCTCAATCTTTCCCCACTTTGGCTTTGTCCATGACTCCTTGCTATATGTTTCTTGACTTGCCTCTCCCTTCCTTTTCTCCCACCCACACTTCCCTCCTTCCCTCTTGTCTCTGTTGGTTTCTTTTCTCTTTCAGTGTTGCTGGTCTTATTTTCCTTGCATCATTACAGGTTTCTTTACTCCATGTTATAAAACTCTGAATATAGATACTGTCCAAACTGTACAAAGAAAAATGTTTGAATACACATTAACAGTTACAAAGTTTGTGCAAAAGACACTGGAGTACATAGAGCTTGTTATAGTTAATTTTATATATAAAGCCCCATTTCTCATTAGAACTATTCTGTGCTATATTAGAAGTATCTGATTTAATTTTTCCCTAATAATAAAACTGAATACTCATTTAATCTCAGAAATTTTAAGATGCAAATTGCATATTTATGATATTTGTAAATGTAATAAATCACTGGAACCTTTTAAATACCATAGTTGCTTTGGAGCTCTTCAAGTTTTCCAAAGGTCATAAAGTAAACCCGGTTGTGGTGATTGCGCAGAGTAGAGGTAAAAAATAGCTTGAAAAGAAAGAAAGATACCAACAGTAAATGCTTAGTTGATAGGTACAGCTATAATTTCAATTTATCTTTATCAACCAATTAAAATATTAAGCCATAATATTTTTCAGAAAAGGATTTTCTCAAATTAAAAAAATATATAAAATAATATATAGTTTAAATTATATATTAAAAACAACCTTTTACCAAATTCTATATAATGGCACTTCACATGATTTAAATAAAATTAGATTTTCATAGGTGGCATTTATCTGCTAATCTTTTTGGTTAGTTTGGGTTAACAGTTCTTCTTTCCTTAAAAAAATCTACTGTTATTCAACTTGGCTTTCCATTTTATAATATGAGGTAATAAGTTATTTTGATGTTGTTCACCATTGTTATCAGTGTTATGAAATTTTCTACTTGATGTAATTTTAATTTTCTCTATCAGTGCAATGCACTGACATCAGTAGATTGATATGAGCTAAACTGATTGACTTAGAGAGAAACATGTCATGTAAATATGGTATGTGCCATAAAGATAATTAGAACAGAACACGAGGTTTTTTGTTAGTATTAAGTCTTTGAATATCCACAATGGATAGTCATAGAAGGTTTTGTGACAACAAGGATGTTGATGGTGATAACACCAGTTAACCTTGACTTAATACATTTTATGTGCTAGGTAATCTGTGAGATTTTATATATATATATATATTTTTTTTCCACTAATTTTCAGGATTGTTCCACAAGCAATTATTAATTTCTAATTTTGAAAATGAAGAAACTAAGGCCCATAAAAGTTAATCAAAATTCCAGGTTCTTACACCTAGTCAGGTGGCAGAGCCAGGACAGCATCTTAGGTCTATTTGACTTCAAACACCACTTCTTGCCATTATATCTCTTTATATTGCAAACTAGTACCTTTCCTTGATGCATGGTGCTTTACCACTGTTGTTCTGATATAAAGTGGAATCCCCTGCAATCTCTTCTATACGTGATCGTTTCCTAGTCCTTCTAAGATTATTTTTTCTCATTATTCCTCATAATATGTAGGAGTGTAATGATTTTTATTCAAAGAATTTTTCCATCTAAACTATCTTGAATTGGTTGTTAAAACTGATCACATTATACAAATAGTTGCTATATTGCAATTTTATTTTTATTCCTGTAAAATGGACATAATAATACCCATGTGTGAAGATTAAATGCAGCTTTAAAAGTAGTTAGTGCAAACACTAGTACCTAATTAGGTGTTAATCAAACATAGTACTTTCCCTTCTATTATTGTTATGTTGAAAACTGTGAAAGGTAGATTTACTCAAGCATTCTGTTTCAAAATATACTAATATGCACATGAAAAGAACTAAGGATTTTGCATCAAACAAAATAATGACTAAGCTTAGGGCATAATTAGAATTTTTAAGTTTTTCTGAAAATTGTTTCTTTGGAAATAAAATCTTATCATTTACCAAGTCAATGTTTCTACTGCCAAATGCAAAATTGTTTTTTTTTTAAATCAATAGTATGACAATTTTGGAAATATAGCATAAATATATTTATGGTTAGAAGGAAAAGGACATAAATTCCTTCACTTAATTTTCATTGCTTGCTTTATTTTTTCTAACTGGAGGGTGTAAGCTATACCTTGTCACTTTGGGTACACAGAAGTCTCAGGTTCTTCATTGATCTGTGCTTCAATTCACTTTCCAGAAGCCTCGATTGTGAAGAGCGGACTTCAATGGTCTTTTGGCTCCAATCTGCAGTTCGCTGTGTACATTCATAAGCTACAATAAAAATTAAAAATCAGAAACACACAAAATATTTCTATCAGTAATAACAAATTATAACCACTGTCATTATCTGGTCATTAAGAAGCTGACTTTTACAGTTCAAGAAAACATTTTTTTTTCCTTTTTCTATATGCAGTCATTTGACCATTATGCTGTTCAGCAATGGAGTGAAAGCCAGCTATTTGTTCTTAGAATTGTAATTAACAATAAATAATTATATCTAAATTAATTTGGCATTCATATTCCCTATTACTACAGAAAAAGCTGAGGGTTAATTCTTCCCTGTTGGTAGAAAGTCAAATTTACCCACAGCCATCCTTTATTTTACAGTCTAGTTGAGTTACAGCATTCCAAAAGGGTTTGTAGTTGTGTTCAAGTAACACACATGGAAAACTAACTAACTTTTCAAAATTAAAACTTAAAAATGACTTGCTCAAATAGTGACATTAACAACTCTAATGCAATTCAATGCATTATTATGTTATAAAGAACACTAAAGCTAATTTGCTGCTGTTAATGCTTTCTCTTGCTCAAGAAATTTTTACAATACTTCAACTTTCATAACCTGTTTTTTTACTTTTAAATTAATTTATTTATTTTTCCAAATACATATGTCTCCACTTTCCCCCTACCACTTTCCCCTGCCCCTCTGCCCACTCTCCCTCCCTCAGTCCTTCCCCACTTTGGCTTTGTCCATGAGTCCTTGCTATATGTTCCTTGACTTGCCCCTTCCCTTCCTTCCCCGCCCCCACCGCTCACCCGTCCCTCCTTCCCTCTTGTGTCTGTTGGTTTCTTTTTCTTTCAGTGTTGCTGGTCTTATTTTCCTTGCATCTTTGTTTTGTTGGTTAGGTTCCGCTTATAGGTGAGATCATATGGTATTTGTCTTTCTCCCCCTGGCTTATTTCACTTAGCATAATGCTCTCTAGTTCCATCCATGCTGTCGTGAAGTGTAGTAGTTCTTTTTCTCTTTCTGCTGCTTAGTATTCCATTGGGTAAATGTACCATAATTTTTTGATCCAGTCATCTACTGATGGGCATTTAGGTTGCTTCCAACATTTGGCTATTGTCAATTGTGCTGCTATGAACAATGGGGTGCATAGGTTCTTTTGAATTGGCTTGTTGGGATTCTTAGGGTATAGTCCCAGCAGGGGAATCACTGGATCAAAAGGCTGTTCCATTTTCAGCTTTTTGAGGAAATTCCACACTGCTTTCCACAATGTCTTCACCAGTCTTCATTCCCACCAACAATGTACTAGTTTTTCCTTTTTCCCACAGCCTTGCCTGCACCTGTTGTTTGTTAATCTGTTTATGATGGCCATTCTGACCGGTGTGAGTTGGTATCGCATTGTGGTTTTGATCTGCATTTCTCTGATGGCTAGTGATACTGAGCATCCTTTCAAACGTCTCTGGACCCTCTGTATCTCTTCCTTGGAAAAGCGTCTGCCCAGGTCCTTTGCCCATTTTATGATTGGATCATTTGTCTTCTTGGAGTGGAGTCGTGTGAGTTTTTTATATATTTTGGAGATCAAACCTCTATCTGATGTATCATTAGCAAATATATTTTCCCATATGGTTGGCTTCCTTTTCATTTTGCATAACCTGTTTTATATTATTTGGTGACAGTAATTATTATTGCAATTGCTTTAAAGCAGAAAACCTAATTATATAAGTATCCATACAATCAGCTGGTGCTGTAAGGTGTTTTTGACCCAGGAGGTAGTATTATTGTTAAATGTTTAACTTTTGAGTACTCTTTATGTACTTGATGGAGAAACCAATTTCCATAAATACATACAATCTTGCTCTTAAAATAGTATCAAAATTTTGAGTCAAGTTAAAGTAGTCTAAAAAACACTAAAATAAGTTGCCCTCATTCCCATATTAATATGACTAAAATTAGAATTCAATTTTTCTTTTCATCTTATTCTACCATAAAGGCAATAAACTAGGCATTGATATAATTACAATATCATTTAAATTTTTTCCTCATCTTTCTCAAAAGTTCTAGGATACATTTGTTTAAACCACACTGTATCTGGCCTATATACGTGTACATTAAATATGCATAAAAAGACTCATGAAAAAATTATTAAAATTTAATGAAAGTGAATTTTCATAGGCAGTGTCAGCCATTTTGAATCTCTCAACTTAAGCTTGCCAAGAATTTATTTATTGCTCCCTTTTATATTACAATTTAAAAGTATTTCAACATTTGAGATGGTGGTGCAGTAAGTGGGAGCTGAACCCACTTGCTCATGAACCCAACTGGGACACCTAGCCAATCTTCCCAAGAACAGAGTGAATTGCCAACACAATCCCAGTTAATGTGAAGCTTCGAAGCCAAAGATTGCAGCTGACATTTAAAAATGGAAGATAAGATTTTGTAGGTTGACAGGAAGGTCCTCGGGCCCTGCACCAGAGACTGTGGCTGCCACAGGAGCTTTGGAGGAGAGCTGGGTCAGTAATTATAACTTAGTGGCTCCCTGCTCTCCCAGAGTGGGGAAGTTACAGACCCACAACAGGAGAGACCTTGATTCTTAAAGTCACTGGGTAGAAAAAGATGCAGTAAGATACACACAACCGGCAGCATACCCTGGATGGGACTATGGTCACCGGCTGGGACAGTAACAGAAAAACTGGGGAGCCAGGTGAAACCTGGAGATAGGAGAAGAGATGGGCCGCAACTGGCCATAACCCAGATAGTCTCTGCACTGGTCAGAGAGTTGGGCTGTGTGAAAAGCTGGGCGCTTGTTAGGAATGACCAACTGCAATCAAGGGGAATTTGCTCAAAAAAGGCTCTCAGCCACTGTGCAAGGACCTCTCGCATACAGCGGCTGGAAGTGGGGGTGTGATTTGCTCCCACTCAGGCTGCCTTATGGATTGATCATACCAGACAGCAAGGGCTCAGAGAGGTGGCAGCACCCATAAAGACAATTTAATAGGGGAGCTAAATTGCCCTGAAGGGACTTTGCATGTGCACAGCACACAGGCCAACAAAGGGGAAGAGGGAAGGGTGCAGCTTGCTCCCACTCAAGGAACCCTGGACTAATGAAAGGGTTGCACAAAGAGGTGGATTATTGGCACTTGCCTAAAGAGGTGGAGAGTGTGGGCTGCACAGCACTCTGAGGGCATGGACTTGAAACTGGGATCCTGTGAATATTGTAGCCCAGACCCAGCCCCAACCTCCCGGAACTACAGGAAAGGAAAAAGAGAGTTCAGCTCCCTTCTGCCTGCAACATTCAGGAAGAGCAGCAGAACCTGCTTGGTACATTAAAGTCAGCAGGAGGCATTTCTTCCTTTTCTGAAAGTGTAAGACAAGAACACCTGGAGCTGTCATAAGACCAAAGACAAATCCAGAAGAATTCAGAAGGCTAACAACAACAGCTGAGTCAAATTTCACTTTACTATCCTGCAAAACTTGCACTTTTTTGTTGTTATTTTTTATTTTTTTATTTCTCTTTTTTACATTTAGACTTTTTTGTTTCACTTCATTATTTCATGTTTTTTTTAATTCTCCTTTTCATATTGCAGTTTAATTTTTTCTTCTCTCACTTCACTTACATTGCAATTACACACCACTCTTAGTCTTTTAATTTTTATTCTTTTTACTCAGATTATATATTTCTTGTCATATTATTGTTACTCCAAATCCTACACAGCACCTTCCCTGGTCTTAAGTCATTTTGCCATCTTTCTGAGCTTTATTACTATTGTGGTTAACGTTACCCTCTTGTACACTATGCCAAGTTTCTTTCTCTTACTCTCACTGTATCTCACCATCTAACCTTGCATAACAGCTCTGCTTTCTAAAGTCACCTAACAATCTTTTTCCATTTTAATGAGTGTCTTATCTCACTCTGGCTGGTGTGGCTCAGTGGATTGAGCACCGGCCTGTGAACCAAAGGGTCATTGGTTATATTCCCAGTCATGGTACATGCCTGGGTTGTGGGCCAGGTACCCAGTATGGGGGTGCAAGAGACAACCACACATTGATGTTTCTCTCCCTCTTTCTCCACTTTTTCCCATTGGAAAATATATAAATAAAATATTTTAAAAAATTAGTCTTATCTCTTTTTAACCTTTTCTAAAAATGGGCTAGCTAGGTGAAATATCATGGTTATTGCTGTATTTCTCCAAAGGATATGCTATCTGTTCTCTACTTGTTGGTTCTGTAAATCCCATAGAACACTCTCCAGCTGTCCTATTCCATTTTGCCATCACCCTGCTCCTGATCACATATGAGATAAGGTGGGACTTGGAATACCAGTAAACCTGCTGGAGGGGAGAAGCCACCAACAAAGGAGCCACCAACAGGTAAAGCCCAAGGCAACAAGAGAGCCCACAAAAATGGAAGAAAGAGCAACGCTACAGCATCCAAACAAGGAGATCACAGAGATTGCACCACTGAGTCCCACAGAACTCCTACCACAGAAGTTCACCCTATAAAGAGAGCCAGCAAAGCAGAGCATCATAAAAAGCAGAAACAAACCAGAAAAAGTTACTTAAAAAGGGGAGACAAAGAAAAAACATGCAATTGAAAGGAATGGAGGACTCCCCAGTAAAAAAGTTAAATGAAATGGAGGCAAACATGCTATCAGATATCGAATTCAAAAGAATGGTTGTAAGGATGTTCAAGGAACTCACTAAAAACTACAAGAAATGAGTGGGAACTACAACAGTATGAAAAAGGAAATAGAAACTATAAACAAAGGCGAGGAAGAAATGAAGAATAAAATTTCTGAAATAAAAAGTACACTAGAAGGAATTACAAGCAGGCTCGATGAAGCAAAGAATTAGTGAGCTGAAAGACAAGTTAGAAAGAAATACCGAGGAAGATCATATGCATGAAAAAAGATTATATATATATATATATATATATATATATATTATATATATATATAATATGAATATATATAATATGAATATATATATATAATATGAATATATATATATATGAATACATAAAGAGAGCTTAAGGAAAACTGCATGTCAGT